ATATATATATATATATATATATATATATATATATATATATATGTACTTAAAAAAATCAAGCTAATTATTTCAGTCTAATCTAATCTTTCTGTTCATCTTTGCATAGATTTGCCCATTTCTTTTGTCATGCCTTTGAGCGATGTACAAGTCTATGAGAAAGATGATGCAAGATTTGAAATTGAAATGTCAAGAGAGGCTAAGGCCGTCCGTTGGCTAAAGGGATCTCAGGAGTTGAAGGCTGATGAAAAGTTTGAAATCCTCGCAGAAGGGAAAAGACACATTCTGGTGGTCAGATCTGCTGCCTATGAGGATGAGGCTAAGTACATGTTTGAGGCTGAGGACAAGAGGACATCTGCCAAACTTGTTATTCAGGGTAATGGAAAAAGTTCTTTAACAAATTGTTATGTACAATATATGATGCACAGTAATCACATTTCCTTCTGAAACTTTTTTCTGATCAATTTATTTTCTGATCTGCATTTGTCGTTCTACACAGGTATCCGTCTTGAGTTTTTCAGACCCATTAAAGATGTCACTGTTAAAGAGCGTGAGACTGCAGAATTCAGCATTGAGCTCTCTCATGAGAAGATACAAGTCACCTGGTACAAGAATGAGATGCGTTTGCATCCAAGTAAAGTGGTACACATGTCCGAGGATGGCAAAACCCATACTCTGTCCTTCAAAGAGGTGTCTATTGATGACACTTCTCTAATTAAAGTTGAGGCCCTTGGGAAAACCTGTGAGGCAATGCTCACTGTACTTGGTAAGTGTTTAAAATGTTTTCTAATACATTTTATAATGACTTTAGTATAATTGACTATTGTTCTTGACAGTACATTGGTGCTGCTTTCATATTGTATTACTCTGCAGTCTCTCTTTTTTTATACCAATATAAGTTTCAATAGCTAATCGGCACCATCTAGTGACTTTACTTCTACTTACAAACTTCTGTGAAAATTGAAATGAAAAATTTTCAGAATTAATTTTATGGTGAGCATAAATAATTTGACAGATGAAAGCTCTGAGTAAGAAAATGTAAACCTCATTCATTTAGAAGAACAAGCAACAAGAAATATGAGGTGGATGACAGAGCTCTTAGAATAGAGGAAGCTAAATATGTTGGCTAACTAGTCCATAGAAAAAATAACTTTGTGTCAGGGTCTTGATCACCGTATGTGGGTTAATTTTTTATTAAATTACATACAAGGACATTTTTGTATATTGGTAAATCATGTTGAAAACATCATGTCCTCCGCTATATCAACAGAGGGAGAACCTTACTTTACTACCAAGTTGCAGGACTACACTGCAGTTGAGAAGGATGAGGTTGTCCTGATGTGTGAAGTGAGCAAATCATCTGCTCAGGTGAAATGGTTCAAAGACGGCAAGGAGATCACTCCCTCTAAGAACGTCCTCATCAAGGCTGATGGAAAGAAACTTATCTTGACAGTGAAGAAGGCAGAGAAGGCCAACATTGGTGAATATGTATGTGACTGCGGCTCTGACAAAACAGCAGCCAAGCTTAACATTGAAGGTATGTATTTTTTGTTTGTTTTATTAATTATACAGATTAATAGATTAAAATTGAGAAAATTACTATGAACTCGTATAACTTTGCCTCTCCTCTCATGTTCTTTGCAGAACGTGATATTAAGATTATCCGTCCACTGTACAGTGTGGAGGTCACAGAGACAGAGACTGCTCGCTTTGAGACAGAAATCACTGAGGAGGATGTTCATGGTAACTGGAAACTCAAAGGAGAGGCCCTGCACCAGTCTGCTGTAAGGGTTTCCTGCAATGCATGTTTTATATATAGATTTCAAACTTTTCATTATATATATATATATATGTATATATATATATATATATATATACAGACAGGACTGTGAGATTAAGGAGGAAGGCACCAAGCACATGCTTATTCTTTACAATGTTCACATGGATATGGCTGGTGGTGTGGACTTCAGTGCTGCTAATGCTAAATCAAGTGCTCAGCTCAGAGTTAAAGGTGAGAATCCTCATAAGTGAATAAAAAAATAAGCATGCAGCCAATATTATTCTCTGTAACCAATTAGTTTTATAACTTAGGCTTTGTGTTTCATAACACAAAGCCTAAGTGTAACCTTTTTACATTGGTAACAAAACAACCTGCATTCTTGTTTCACTGAAGAAAAACATTTTTTTTGAGTGGCAGTAACAGATAACTTGGCAGTCAACAGCCAATCAGGCCTCAAGACTATTTTAGAAGTCCCATGCCTTATCAGGAGAGGGTGGGGGTGATTGGCAGAACTGAAACATGCCTCCTAGTTTATCTGACCACAGGCAGTGCATGGAATCTCAGTATGCTAATGATATAGGATCCTGTGTGAATCTGAATAGTCCTTCAGGCTGCAAAATATAACCTAGTGATAGAGCAGAATGACAAATTGTAGTAGTAGGATTGTCTCTTCTTATTAAGGATGTCCATTTCCTCCTCTAAAGCACGCACAATTGGCCTCCTGCGACCTCTTCGGGATGTCACTGTCACTGCTGGAGAGACTGCCACCTTTGACTGTGAGCTCTCATATGAAGATATTCCAGTTGAATGGTTCGTTGGCTCAACAAAGATGGAGCCAAATGATAGGGTGAGATTCTTTTCTGTATATTTTGTTAGATTTAATTGTTAATTTGAGCATCATCAATTCAGTTTTGTTCCTGTCTGAATGTTTAAGATTTCATTGTTATTCACTGTGACTTCAGTTGTAGTTATGGAAAAATTACAATAGACTATAGTTTAACTATACAGTATACACACACACAGTATGTATATTTGTTTGTCTTAGCGTGACAATTCCAAGTAGAAAAGTCTTTATATGAAGATTTTCTGCATATAAGGACTTCCAGCACTTGCTCAAAGTTTTGAGATAACGCTGGGCCATTCTGCCCTGTAGGTGCCCTTCTGGTTATTTTTAACTGCTTCAAGAGTGTTGTTGAAGTGGTGGTATAGTGAACTTCATAATCATTAGACATTTGATAAAATATATATCTCTTTAATTTTAATGTTTGACTTAAAGAAAATATGCTTCTTATGTAATTATTTATCACATATATATATTCTAACAATGCATTTGTTGTTTTTACATAGCTTAAATTAGACAGATAACTAAGAAAGAGATCATTTTGTTTTATAATTTAAAGGTAATCTTATTTATATTATTTAACATTCATTTTATTTCAAGGAACAAAATGTGTTTTTATGATTGTAGTATGATTATGATTGTAGTATACGTGTACTGTAATAACCCTAGAACACCTGTATTCCTATTGAATAGAAATTATAGGCATATATAGAGATTTCTTATGGTTTCAAATGACCACATTACATATCACAGAG